TCTTCTTTTTACCGTAAACTTTATTAATAATTTTCTTGTAAATACTTCCACTTTCCGCTGTCCCTTGGCCTGATATATAGTCGGGTGGCAAGGGTGGCAGTTGTGGCATCGGCAAAAAGTAATATCCGTAGATTAACCAATTAGGATCTTTGTCCCAGAGACATCTTTGAAATACGACGTGTTCGAGGACTTTGTAACATTTTGTTGGGCCACCGCCTATTAATTTGCCCTTTTCGTTGTAGACTGAAAGACTCTTACAATTTATATTTAAATAATGATATTTTAATAATTGGTGGTATCTATTAAATTTCTCCAATTTTTCTCTCACCTGTTCAGAATGGAATCTCACAATCACTTGCTGTAAAGTAAGATCAGAAAATGCGCCTAGCTGCACCGACCGAATATTTACAATCTTTGGACGATCCACCAAGCCCAAAAAGACCCACTTGTAATTACCGATAGTCCGTTGCTTTAACTGGCTTTTAAGTGTCTATAATTAACAATATCAATACAAAAAAATTTAGTAACAAATTTTAAAGCTACACTCTCCCATCAGCAACATACACAAATAATAAAATGGGAATAATAATAATATTAACGATAATTACAAAAACCATTTGTTCATGACATATTTTCGATAAGGCTTTAAGATTTCCTCTGTACAATAAAAAGAAGAAAAACAAATTATTTACAAATAAGCAAAAAGATTATGATTGTTTTTTTTGTCATTTTTTTATTTTGATGTGATCGGTATTCGAGCAACAATAAAACTTACGCAGCATAGTGAATGTTCATTTCTTTGTACCTATCTAATGCATCCTTTCTGAATCTTCTCGGACTCCACCGTTCAAGATTTTTGAGTTTACGTGCTGCCAAGGTCATTAAGAAAACACTACATAAAATTATAGGTAACAAACATTATATTATTCACCATTATTTTATCTAAAAGAAAATCTAATAATTTATACGTATATACTTGTATGTATTTTTAAAAAAATTCGATAGACGTTGATATATAATGTAGTAAAATAATGGCTTGAGAGGCGATGGCATTTTTGAAGGTTGTGCATATGGATCTTTTGTTGTTGGATTAATTAATTCATTCATTAATTAAAATAAAGATATAGCCTTAATAATGAAATCAACCTATTATCCCGAAATCATCATATCTTAATCGAATAGATGAATTCATATATCTATTCAATAAACTGACATTCTTTTGCTGTGAAACAATATTATTTAATGAAGGGGAGGACACTCGCAATAATGGCGAAGAATATACGATATAATTACGAGAACAAGCCATATTTTTTTGTGCTAATGATAATGATAAAAATTTGAACATGCTTTTTTATCTGTTTGAGACCGCGTAAATTTTTTGTTACGACGCGCAAAGATTTCTTGGTAGATTGATTTCTCCTTTTTTTTTGTGCTTTCATGTGATGAAATATCTACGCGCAGTAAAGCCGATCTGTTCTACGTGACCGATGTTGAACCAATTTCGATTATTCATTCACTATAGTCGCGTTATTTATTGCACTTCTCCCAATCAAAATGGTTCAGACACGTCGTCAAATCCAAAACATCAAGAAAACCGGGATAAATGATAAATCAGAGGAGCAGCGCGGCCGAGAAGCTGGCCATGATTTCGGAGGAAGCGATCGTCGCGTAAAGAAACTAAAAGTCGATATGACAGATGCGACTTCACCGAATTCAGAGAAACAAGAAGTTTCTCTTGACAAGAACATTACCATTGCTGCTGATAATATAGCTCATTTGGAATTCTCTTCTTCGCCGAATTCTGTAGCTGTTGGTTCAGAAACTCGACAACATATTGTTAAAGGGGGTATTGATGGCAACAACGATAAGATTGATGGTAATAATAATGTTTCTACTAACTCTAGAGGTGGATTTATTGTAGACGCATCTACTGAAAGCTCTGGTTTCGGGGTTAATAGTAATAGTAGTGATGGTGGCTTTATAATGAAACAAAACACTTCATATACGAATCCATTTCAAACAGGCACAGTATCAAAGTATTTTGCCGGTTCTACAAAGACTGCATCTTCATTATGGTCTGAACAAAGCGCTCGTACGG